GAACCTCAGATCTTCTCAACGTCAGCATACAGCGGGATGTCCTAAGCATCCCCGGCCCTGTGGTGTGTCTGGCCGCTTTTGAGGAACAGCTGATGGTCGTCTTCCACAGTGGGATGGGTGAGACTTCTTTCTCGTTAAGAGCTCTCAAGTTTAGTTCATTTTGAGTCTTGTACCTTTGCTACACTTCTGTGTTTGTAATGTTTGTCTAGGGAGGGTTCTTTTATGATTCAGGTGGTTAAACTATCAAAGAATTTCATAATGTTAAGTAATTTAGTGGAATATATAACCCAGCTGATTACGTCCCTCCTGTAGGTGTCTCTGGCGATCAGCACATGGCAGCCATCGTCCTGAGCGTAAATGGAAACAAGCACCCCGTTCCCCTCTCTTGCCCCTTGCCCCTCTCCCCCCGCTCCTACCTGGCCTGGGCTGGATTCACTGACGAGGGTACTCCAGCCGTCATGGACAGTGCTGGCATCATTCGCATGATGCACTTCAAGTATGGCTACAACTGGACAGTCATCCTCAACACAAAGAATCATGTGAGTAGTTTGGGTTGGGGGATTTTGAGAGCAAGAGTGAGAGTGAGAGAGAGAAAAGGCAACAATTAATTAATTAATTGTAACATTATATATGAATGTTGTCAATGAGCACATAAGGCTTAGAATTTATTATTATATTTTTATTTTTTGTTATTATATTATTATTGTTATTATTATATTATTATTGTTATTAATATATTATTATTGTTGTTATTATTATTATTATTATTATTATTATTCTCTTCTCTTGCAGACAAAAGGCAAGAGTGACAATTACTTCATGCTGGGTGTGAGCGAAACACAGGGCAATGTACGATGCATTCTCTGCAAGGGTGGGCGCTATCCTCCTGTGTTGCCCAAACCCCATGTCTCCATCATTAGCATACAGGTATACAAGACTGAATCTTGCCCTTTTTTCATAAACCTGTGGATTATCATCTTGATTTTATGTTGTTTAGCATAACATTTTCATTCATAATGTAAGTGAGCATGAAATATCACAAGTAAGTAGTAAGCAGATTATCTAACCCTCACCTGATTGTATTCTAGGTACCATTATGCGAGTTAGAAACGGAGAAGGGTGGCCTCGAAGAGAAGACGCTGCGCTCTGGTCTCCTGCTGAATTCCCTAGAGCGTCTTGGGCGCCAGGGCTATGACGTAGAGGACTCGAAGAATGAAGCTGACAAGATCCTTAAGGAAGCCATGATTAAGCTGTTTGCTGTGAGTATTGGGTGTGGGAAGGGGAGGGGTGTTTGGATGGAAATTGAGGGTTACATTAGTTAATGGTTATTTCATGTGAATTTGATTTTAACCCCCCCCCCCCCTGACTGAATTATATAGCTCTCTTTATATTTTCTGATAATTATATTTTGCATATAATGTCTCCTTTATACTTTTGTTTCAAAGACAAGATAAAGAAGTAAGCTTTTTCCTCCTCTCCATAGCTGGCGTGCCGCACTGAGCGTGAGTCTCGAGCCTTGGAAGTCTGCCAGCTGATGCCATCATACCATACTGTCCAGCTGGCTATAAAGTATGCAGGAAAGCTTCACCGTCTCCAGCTGGCAGACAAACTGGGCGAGGTTGCATCAGCCAAGATGCAGGAAGAAATGGAGAGAGCTGCCAAGGCACAAGGGGTTGAGGAAGACGATTTACAAATGTATAGTTTTGTGACTTAGAAGTAGAATGTGAAAGATTGATGTTTTATTTGAACTTCACTATACAGTTTGCTTGATGAATTGTGATTTTTTTTTTTTTTTTTTTTTTTTTTTTTTTTTTTTTTTTTTTTTTTTTCCCTCCCCATCACCAAGGAGAATATATGAGGTTGCCATTTCATTTCTGATGTCCTTAGGACTATTTTTATTGTTTATTCATAAAATCCTGCTGCAAGATAATGACAAGAATTTGTTGCTTTCTACACCACTAATTTTAATTTTGAGATGGAGTTGCATTAGAGTTGTCTTTATCATCAGGTACGGCAGCGGCATGAGAAGAATAAGAACAAGAGATGAAGATGAGGACGAAGAGGATGATTACTCTGAACAGGTTCAGGAATCAGTGGAAAATGAGGAAGCGGTTGTTGGTGAGAAGTTTGTTTTCTCTATCTATTTATCTGTTTTATCTGATTTATGGTCTGTTTAGTTTTAAGCCTTATAAACAAAAGGTATTAGTATAACCCACAACTCCTCTTCCTTTCTCACCCTGCAGACAACCCATTACTAGCAGCTGCATCGAGAAGAGAGAATACCACCCCACGTGGAGGCCTCCTCTCCTCGCAGAACTCAAAGAACCCCTTCAAGAAAAGTGGCACTCCCTCATCAGCACCGCAGAGTGGGAAGCGAGGCATCAATGTCATCGATCAGTTCAGAAAAGCCCAGAAAAAGATGGACTCCAGCCCAGTGTTGAGGCCTGTTGTTAAAAAACCACAGGTAGGAGAAGACAAGAGGTCTCATGGTTTAGAACTGGGAATTCTATATCTGATGTACAGTATATGTTCTTGTGTAATTATATTATCAGCCTTATACTTACCTTCTCTTTTTTAGAGTAATTTTTGAATGGTTTGGTATGAAACTTTTTTTTTTTTTATGATGTACTAATCCATGACCAATTAACCTTGCAGTTCTGAATATAGATAAACATATTCACTCCCCACAACTAACTTATTGAACACATATCATTGATAATAATCCTAAGAGGACAACTATGTTTTCCCCAACTCTGTCAAAGCCAACCTCCTCCCTGTAGTTTTGTGTCCTTATTTCAAACATGTTTAAAATCTTCATAAACCACCAGATGTATGTGGATTAAAGGTTTACAGATGTCCCCCAGGCACAGAGATTGAATAATCTTTGCTGCCAATTTTCATCATATTTGCTCTTCATATTTTACTTACATGACTTAAAGTGAGCCCGTAAGAATGGGAATATAGATAAGACATCTTCATTGCTTTGCTTCATTTTATCATGCCTATTGCTTATTGCTTTTCTTTATCTCAGGCCAAGCAAACAACACTCAAGAAAGAGTCGCAGGAAGAGCCACCGGTTCCTTCAGGGAAGGAAAATGTCTCGGAGAATATACCTGAGGAGACCCCCAAACCATCTGCAACAAACCCATTTAAGAAAGTGGAGAAGGCCACTGATACTCCTCCCAAGAAGCAGTCAGCACTACAGCTGTGGTTGGCTGACAATGAGAAAGTTGTGAAGGAAAAGTACCCTGATGCCAGTGAGAAGGATCTGCTGGCCAAGGCTGCAATGATGTTCAAAGATGTGGATGCTGATACAAAGCAGGTATGTTTTTTTCTGATTTTTTAAAATATACATTTATATATCCTTCCTTCCATCTTTATAATTCAGTACTTTTTTTTTTGTTTAGTGCATCTGTAGCCATTGTCCGCTTTCTCTTTTGGTAATGCTAAAATATTTTCAATTAGAATATCCTAGATCACAAATTGTCTCTCTTGAACTCCTACTAAGAATGTAAATAACAATAAGATGAATAAACCTTAATGACAATCACCACCAAACCCTCCAGAAATACAAAGCTCTGGCAACTGGTACTCCTACGGCAACAACGACACCAGCAGCAGAAACGACCACAGCCCCAAATGAAGAAGATAAAAAGCGAAAACGCGAGGAAACCACTCCAGAATCTCCCATTGAAAAGAAGGCCAAGGGTTCAGGCTTAAACAAGCTTGCTGCATTTGCTTTCAACAAAGATTCATAGTTCTTGTGATGGCTTTTTGTATATATTTGTGTAAATGTTTTTATAAAGAGATTAGTTTTAACTTTTTCTTTTAATGTACCATTTTCTAGAGATATTTACCTTAGGTTTTTTCATATATAACTGAGTAGAATTATTTTGTATTTATTTTTGTTCATCAGATCTAATTATAGTTGTGGATGCAACATATTAAATACAATAATATGCTTTAGAATTTGAAACATTGTAAAAAATATATATGACAAACCATTGATATTTATTTTATAAAATTAATTGAAAAATCTGTATAAAATTATAAATCTATTTAACCAGGAAGATGTGAAGTAACCCTACCATCTGAGAAACAAGTGTACAAGATGCTTCCTTTCTGAATAAAGCAGAAAATACATGATAAAGTAGTTCATATTTTCATGTTATGAATTCAAGAAGTATTTTTTATTAATAATCATAAAACAACAAATCTATCTATCTTTCTGTCTGTCTATATAATATATAAAGCAAAGTACTTAGAAAAATGCAAAATCTTTTGGAACAAACATTCCCATGGTGATTTATTTTTGCCATTTCTTAAATGTAACACATGGCAGAGGGTGAAGAGAAAACAAAAACAGATTTTCTCTAATTTAATAAAGTTTCATATAAAGTGTCAATCAAGTGACCAAGTATAATTGGAGTTTATCGTATAAAACACATCACCTAAATACTATATACAAAATCAATGCAGAAACAAACAAAAAAATATATTTATATATATTGAACCTATAATGAAGTCTGTTTCATGAAACAATAACAATTCAAACTTTTGTTTATGGCCATTGCAAATGCAAAATCACATCCAAACTGGCGTAAAGCTGGCTTCTCTGTATGCCATCATTGTTACTGTATCGCAAATTTCAAGCAAGAAAAATTACTGTAAACTGTTCTTGTGTTCTGCCAAGTTCACTCGGTGGCAGCACGAATATACGTAGATTACAATGTTTCTTGCTTTGGCCTGCTTTCATCAGCTGTTGTTGACATGACCTGGGAGAAACACCCAAGCCAGTTTTATCTCGTGACGATAAGCACACTTTGTTCTTTTGTTTTATTCAAAATAGCTGGATGTCAGAGCAAAAAAGACTTCATTCAGTGTCCTATAATCTCCAATAAATTTAAAGAGTAACCTAAGAGCTTTGCCGCACTTCAAGCTTGTACGATAGCTTTATCATTAACACAAAGGATGAGGGAATCAGAGCGAGCTTTTCTATTATTTGAATGTTAAAAAGACAACTATTTTCCTAATGACTAAAAAGAAGAGAAAAGATCCTGATAGTTGTTTTTAAAATCAAATTATGAAGTCAGAATGATAAAAATCCCCCCTCTCCCATTATACTATACGTATGTATATATAAACTTCTCTTAGACTTGATATATAAACAATTTCTAAATCAATTAGTTAATTCTGTGAACACATTTGCTTGCCTGACAGTTAAGTAAATTAAGAATCCAATAATCTGCCTTGTAAGTACAATTTATACCTGTCAAGTGTTGTATCATTACTAATGCAAAATGGGTTTTCACAATATTCACAGTAAAAATCAAACCCAGTGCTCCATTCTCCATTACAGGTTAATGTAATGGTATAAATTCATCTATATTAACCTAAATGAAAACAGAGAAGCAGAAGAAAACAGTTACTGCATCTGACAGTCATCTATCATAACTTTTCAAGCCCCTACCCTTCAAAACCCAAGCCATAGTTTAAAGAAAGTCTATTTAATTAAAATCTCTATTTACCATATAGTACAGATTATATTTATCATATAGTACACTGTATTGGCTGCAACAAAAATGTAAGGCCAATCACCTTTATAACAAACTTCTGGTAAAGCCTCTAGTCATTGATTTATATATAGGATATATATAATCTTTGATATCCATTCCCCTCCATATCCCAGTGGGCCGTTTATGAACAGTGTCGACATTTGTATTTGAAACAATGAGAGGTGAACTTGAAAGATAATGAATTTAATGTAAAAACCTAACATATTTTTTTGGTCTCCTACAAAATCAGGTTTTACCATGATCAAATAAATCGAGAATGATGACCTATGCAACATGTGTTAAGACTGCAATGCTCTGGCTCTACTTATCATATCAATCATCAGATAATATAAGAGACAAGTATATATAAAAAAAAAAAAAAAAAAAAAAAAAATCATAATTACCTATGCCTGTCAAATGTTACCATCAAAAAAGAGACAAGCTATGACATACCATTAAATCTTTTTTACACTCAAGACGAATTCCACTATCAATATCTATTGTACAACAACCCTAAAGTAATCTCTTGCATTCTAAAACTGCATAACTCTACACATCTGTTTACATCTGTCATGCCTTGGCAAACTACAGAGAAGTGGAAGGGTATTTAAGGCCCCAATACAGAACCAGAGCACATTTTTCTTTTTTTTCTTTTTTTCCTTCACTATGCTGTGACAATTTGGTGAACAACCTAAAGAACCTAAAAACACGCAGAATGATGCAAGTGAAATAAATGACACTTTTTTTTCCAAATGCATGGTGTCAACTGGCTTCTGTGTACTTCAAATTTTAGTCAGAAAAATAATTATTTTTTTCTTTTTCCTTGTATATGGTCTCTTGGGAAATTATGAGTTACGGAGCTTGGCTAGTCTCTGCGTCAGTTCATCCTGGTCTTGGCTAGCCTGTGTTGCCCCTACCCCAATTGTGGACATACTGCCTGATGGGAGCTCCATGTTCAACTCCAATCTGGAAAAAATATATATATATTCCTTGAGAACTTTAGCATGATCCTTGCCCAAGAAGAAACAAGAAAACTGTAATATTGTTAATAATGACTAATCTGCTTTGTGATGGGTTAAACATGAATAAGAGTAACAGCTTTATATTTTCCATTATTCAACTTCAAGGAGATAACACAAGAACAAAATAAAAATAGCAAACATACCCAGCTTCATCAGCAGCTTGTGACATGAGACCATTAACGGCATCCTGGGGTATAGCAGTGGTCACGGTGTCGCTCATGGCAGTGTCCATGTAGGAGCTCTGCACATCCAGATCCTCAAACTGTTTCTCGAACTTGTCCATGAGACCAGAAATTTTCTCGAGATTCATGCTCTTCATGGCTGCATCCAGGTTCTTTACCACACCCGCCATACTTTGTGTTACCTGCAGAGCGAGGCAACGAATGAATGACTACTTAGATATGTGTCATACTTCATGTTTCAACTAAAAATTATTGTTCTTCCATTCAGATTCCCATTAGGACTTTTAACATGATTGATTTTCTCAAGTATCACTATAACCTGCAAGACATGGAGTTAGAATTTAATTTCAAAAAGCCTACAATAATGACTCAAAACATTCTGTAAAATTTTCAATGGCTAAGATTTCCAAATCTAAGGTTTTTAACCATTTATTTCATATTGTATTGCATAGTGTTTAATTGAGCATATAAGGAGGTTTCTCCTTACAGACAAGTCCCCTTCAAAGTACATTAGATTTAAAAAACTGGTACACTTTCCCACCTCTATTTCAGCGCAAAAATGATGCAGTCAGGATAAAGTACAACAACTGATTCGGTCTAGCATTAATCTTTAACCCACAAGCCCAAGAGAGCTAACATCTGCCACCTTTACTTTACTGAGCTTTGTGTGTTTGGATGGCTTCTTGCACCAGACATACAACCACTCTCCTAACTCCCCAAGGATCCCCATATTCCTATTCCTATTCCTATTCAGTTACCTCCTGGCATGGCTGAGCTGCTTGTGACATTATTTTTTGGTTTGTAAAATCTAGGCCTGCAAACAATAACAACAAAATTGCCCCTGATAGAACAAAAATTTACAGCTGAGAAATAGTGGTCTTTAGAATTTAATGGATTATGTACTTCCCTCTTTCATTTTGCTAAATAATTAGAAACTGGTGCTTCTTTACCATAAAAGAAAAAAATCAGTATGTTGAAAAAGATCATATATATATCACAGTTCATTGGCAACTCAGCTATGTCTGCTAAGGGAACTCGCATTCATTTACTTAAAATATTAGCTCTTAAAGTAATAGTAATTCCACACAAAAGTTTGCTGCTTATTTCAGTACTTAAATTTCCCATTTTATTCCCCTGAACTTTCAAGGAACCATCCTGACATACCTTGCGCTGTGTGACAGCCGTCTGGACCCTAGAGGCTACTGCATCGACTCTGGCTGACATGCGGAGGTAGTTCAGGGCCTGGCTTTTGTTACGGATGGAATTCTCGGCATGAATGCGAGCACCATCCATGTTCCCCTTGGCTATGGCCTTCTTCACCTTGGCTTTCTCTGCTTTCTCCTCCTTCTCGCATTTCTTTGACTGCCGGTCCAACTCCTTGGCAGCAAACTTGAGGTTGAAAAGATGCTCTGAAATAAAGTTTAATGTTTATTGAGGGTAAATCTTGAATGTGTTTATGACTGAATTATTGCTGAATTTAAATGCTTCAAAATCATTTGAAGAAAATAGTGGTACTTCCTCTTGTAAATGAGATATAAACCTATCTATAAAAGATAATTTAGCACTGACAGACTGGAAACACAGCCAGCTAGCTACTTCATTTTGGGTAAATGTTTAGAATATAACTATGTCTCTTATCATAGGACCTGCTGTTTTCTACCCAAATCCAACTGAATCTTGGTGTTACCTGTAATGGCGGGCTTGCAGCATTGTGACAAATGTAGAAAAAGGAGTGAATGAGCAGGAATATAGTGCAAGAAATGTAATTTTTTCTTGTTTGATTATATCTTTGTCAGAAATACATGCATTTCTAATCAAATGCATCTCTTGCACTATGAAGATATTCTTTTTCATTCATACTTTTCTCTACAAATGTACAGATGTCTTCTGATCTTTTCCATTCATTTGTAATGACCAACAATTAAGATAGTAAAGATAAAAATATTAAAATAAAAATAAAATCATCAATCAATCACAGACTTTTTAAGAATTTTCAATTACATTATTCTGCACAATAGGGAAAGGATATAAAAAAACATATGATAAATGAATACTCAGTAAACTTCCAATAAGCACTGTGTGTACATATTGATCTAACCGTATCTTCCCAATCATTTAAATTTTATTATAAAATTGAAATTCACTGGGTTATCAAGTTTTCATGATTCTCCTTTGCAGTTACCTTTACCAACATACTCTTGACAAAAGGGAGCAAAGACTTTGAAATATAACAGCCATATCTATTTATAAATGGCTACAAAAAAATAAGAATTCTTCCAATATGGTATCATTACTATTTCTGTTTTTTTCATTTTCAATTGATCATCTCCCAGGCACTGCATCAAAGGTATCATCAAATATCAAATATCAAAAGTATAATGTATCGAACTACAAGCCTGAGAATGACTTTTGTCATATTTGATCATATTTATTTACAAATGCTATCATATTTACTGTCGTTACTTTTACTATTCTCCATCCTTACCACCTACAATTTTTTTTTTTCTATTCTTGTCACTGTTGCCTCCCCCTTGCCATTCTTGTCCTTTTTCTCTCATTTTTCTTTCTCTTTCTCTCTCTCTCCTTCCTCCCTTTGCATTTCTCTGTCTCTCTTTCTCATGCCTCTTCCCATCTACTAGTCAACTAACAGGTTGCAAAGTAAATCCATTACTTTTGTTCCTATGAAAAAAAATTGAGGGGTACAGTATCCAAATATTTATAAATGTATAAAACTGAAAGACAGCTGTCTGCACCTATTTGGGGCTTCAAAAGACCCATCTTGTATGTGCTCAATTTGCCTAGCTTTTTGTCATTATGATCTCCCACAATACTATCATTACATAACTATTACTTTCTCAGGAATTTCTGAAAGTGCATTATTACTTTCCCTTCCTTCTTTATCACCTATCTGTATATGTATCTAAAGCATAAATACACGTCATTTACTGAAAAACACAAAGTGAATGAAATGCGAACCATTACTTGCTTGACAACCACAGAGGATTCTTCTATAGCTAAGGGGTTATAGGATAATTCTAATTTCCTTGAGGCTTTATTGTATTTCTTGGCTATTCTAATATATCTTTTATTCTCTTTGTCTTATTATATTTCTTAATCAATAACAAAGGAATTGTGTAACCAAAGTTATTAACTGTTACAAAGAGAATACTGAAATAAATAATAAAGATTTTCAACAATAAATTTCTACAAAAGTTCTGCATTGCCAAACCCAATTAGTTTT